ACCCTCCTCCCTCCCTCACGCCTAGTGACCACAACACGTGGACTTCATCGTGCGGGTGACATGGAAACGATGAATATTACTAACCTATGAGACACTTATTAAGAAGGAGCAGATGCGATCACTGGGACAAGAACCCTATTCACCTCTTGTCCCAACGATCGCATCGGCTCTTTATCAATTCCGGGAACTCGCATTTTCTTCCATTTATGCGATCCAGCTAAATATATATAATTATACTACTCGTAATAAGCGAATAGTCGTGTAAGTTTACTTTTGTCGGATAACCGGGGCTGCCCGCTTTTCGCTTGCAATTTTCTAAACTACCTCTTTTTTATTTTTCTTCTGTATCGATGCATCTCCTAGCCACTTTTTCGCCTATCGTTCCCTTAATAAAACTGAATTGGACTTATTATTCCCTGTAAACTACCCCTAATTTGTGTTTTATGTAACTGATGGATGAGATGATGAACTACCGAAAGCATGGGAATATCCAGAGAAGTCGTGATGCAAGTTAACACTTGTTGCTACTCCTTTAGTAACAGCTAACAATGAAATCTGCAACCCTAGGGTCGACACGGTCCGATCGCATCGGCATCGCAGAGCAGAAAACCTGAATCTGCTGGTGGGGTGGGGGGACAATGGGGAGGGCAGAACGCACTAGGTCTTAAAGCTATCATGTGCAAAATAGCAAGGGTTGAACACAGGCAGTTTATTTGGTGAGGGTAATAGGCAATGCCATTGAAAACCCTATTGATTACGTCCGGTGCGTCACATAGATCTGTGAACGCAGGCCTAAAATTGTCCCGATTAAAATAGCATTGACAAACAGTGAGGAGCATTATTTTTACAAATAAGTCTTGTCAGGGGTTAGGTTGAGTTCGTATTGTCGAGCATCTGCCTCATGCTTATTCCATCCCCCTCCCTTCCGGCTGGTAATTTCATCAGTCAACATCTGCGAGCGGATAATGGTTCGCCATGGGAAAACACAGTTCACTTTATCGATAGGTGTCATAGAGCCACTGGGAGGCAGGATTAGCTTGATTTTGGCAAACAACCACCGACGCATTCCCCTGTTCCTGTCCCTAAAACCTGCCGCACTGTCTTGCGAAAATCTTACTAATTTATGTGGTAACCATGTGGACTTACGTCTCCTTACACTGTTACGATTTGACGATCTGGTTTCCTCTAATACTCGCGCCTACGCCCGTTTCGATCACATTCTGATCAACTACCCCAAGCCTTTTGTTGCCGAAAATAGAGTTCCGTTGTCAGGCTCAGACCACTCTGTGTTGTTGGGCCTCCTAACTATCTATTCCAGCCGTCCAGGAAAGACTGTCGAAGCGGGATGAGCACATTTTGGTCGTTCTGTCTCCACTCAACGCCAATAGCTCATTGGAGGAAATATACACATGATGGAATCAATATATAACTCTGCACAAACCATCAAGAGCCTGGATTGATTCGTGCGACAACAATATTCTGCCCCTACTGGTGAAAATGAGGGCTGATAGGGCTCAGCGAATCCAGATCCATATACCAAGATGCATGCGTGCACCAGGCGATGAGAAAGAATCGCGCTCGCCTCAAGCATAAACAAGCCAGATGTAACTGACTGACTGACTAGTTGCTTACACCTTCTTTTTAAAATTGTCTTTGGCTCAGATGTAGAAAAACAACAGCAACTTTCTTGGTGGAATTCAGTGGCACCTATAAAACACACGACCGGTTTCGCCATAGATTGCTGGCATGTGTGAAATTCACTGAAAATCAGTCTGTGGTGGAGTTTGGTCGATAAGCAAAAAGGATGGAGGTGGAAGAGGAGGAGGACGAGAAGGAGGAACACCGAAGGTTAAGTAGCAGTAATATTAGTAGTAGTAGTAGTAGTAGTAGTAGTAGTAGCAGTAGCAGTAGCAGTAGT